TATTATTAGTAGTATTTTAATACGAATAGTTGTCCTATTTTTGAAGAGAATAGATGTAAGAGTTGGAGAGTTGGAGGAAGAAGAGAAGATTCTGGAGAAACCGAGTGCGTTGCAGAGTGGGAATAGAAAGCGGAGGCGGGGTCTGAAATGGTGGAGGATGATGACGAAAAGGGAGATTAAGAGGCAGACATTCTAGGTCCATACTCTTCTGCCTGAAGACTATACCAGTCCATTGTAATGAGATAATTCCTTATACTTTTTAGCAGATGGGCCCAACTTTGTCAGTCATGCTCTCCACACGTCAAATATTCAGCCATATTGTTTCCGGCTTGTGGATCCTGAACCAGAATCTAAGACGGCAGTCCTGGATGCATGTGGCTTGGTAGGTCTGCAATTGGCCAAATGTGATACTTGGACGTTTTTCCACTTCTTTTTCTACTTTCACATGCACTCAGCGTCATTCGTATGCTGCTCGTAGGCGATGGGGCAAGACGAAAATGAGGTGTTGACAGCCTGTACGCTCTACTCAGGCCGCGCCATCCAGTGTCCTGTCTATGAATCATAGCTCGCGACTCCCACGGACCAGTTGCCTCGGGCTTCGGCCCCGCCCATCCCTTCAGTTCACTCGTTCAACAGCCGACCAGGCTTCAAATGACACGATGCAATAGAATGCGACAGTGAAATGTGCATTCTGAGCGAGAGACGCCACAGTTAAAACTCGAAGATGTGGCAGTGGAAACTTTTTCAGGTCAGTCGAGGCTGTCAAATGGCTGAGACGACGACCGCAACAGGCTTTGTGGTATGATCGGGGTACATGCAGCAGTCCTCCGTCTCGCCCAGACTGTCACATCCCACCCCCCGCCCCATCCTCGTGCCAGCCAAACTCCACTCAAAAAGCAAGCCTCTCCATCGGTACAGGGCCTCGGCGTCAAGGCCAGTTGGCATGGCTGCAGGCAGAACGAGCCTGTAGGCAGATTGCCTGTGGTCTAGTCGAAGTTGGCCAAAAAGTAGTCTGCCCCTTCGGTCCAATTGACATGTAAATTACACGCAGGCTACATGTCCGTCCATGCCGGGCAGAGTGGACTTGATTAAGGGGCGTGTGGAGCTGCAGTATCGACAGCGGCGGACTGAACTTCCGAAGAAGATGGACCGGAGGGGCCGATGGGTTGCCGGTTAACTGCATTTGAATACGGAACGTCAGTTGACATGCCTGGCTCTACCGGTCAACCGGGCAACACGGTTGGACTCACACCCACAGGCTGGCTGATGTGGACATAAAGCACAGTCTCGGAGCCCGATTGGACCGACTGTATGGCCTACACGTAAATTGGCGCCTCGATTTGGTGGGCTCTCTTTCTACCAGCCAGTCAGCAAGATATGGGTCAGTGGTACATGACCACCCTGAGCCAGCAGTGTCACAAGAGACTGCCGACAGCCTGGGATGAGGTGGATAAAATGCAAAATACCAAGTATCAAGTGGAAAGATGGGTGCAAAAATGAGCGTTAGTTGGAGACGCCATCTGGCCAGCTGATCGCTGATCGCCGATCCATTCACATGAGCGTAGACTGATTTGGTCTGCCGTGGAAACATCAAAATGACCAAGATTTGGTTAGAGATGCGTTAGAAAGATGTCTAATTGGGACTAATTTCAGGGCCTGTCTGTACGTCTACCATTGTCAACCTGCACATCATACAGACCCGCGTTTCTGCCTCAGCCTGTGCTCGTATGCAGGCGTGTATGTGTGCATTTGTGTGTTTGTGTGTTTGTGGACTACATGAACCTGGTGGAGGGTGAGGATTCCCATTCTATAGCCTCATCGTCTTGCCTGAAATAGGCTAAATTCCTATCAAATGTGAGAGTTTGCTTTATTTGAGATGAAACAAAGACTGCGAGTTTATTGAGCAAATTTCAGATGGTGTTGAGTTTAGTTTTTTTCCGTTATTATGTAAGTGTTCGAGACTCCCAGTACAACATAAATATGAGTTGTGTCCACCCCATTTCGCGTAAGGTAGTCGAATTTTCTCACAATCATATGTGTTGAGCTGACTTTTCCATTGAATCTTACGTAGCCTTGCTCTCCAAAAAGGTGTTCTCATCACAGCTCGAGCGGACTGCAGTTTCGACCCCCAGCGGGATTCGAATCATGACAATGTAGCGTCTAATCTCGACACGTTAACCACTACATCACATTTCCACGAATGCCCTTGAATCATAGAGCAGATGCGCATTTCAAGGAAGGTCAGACCTTTCTCATATCACAATTTGTGTTGAGATTGTCGCTAAGACAAACTTATGCTTACTCTAGCAATCGATGATATTACCTTTTTTTGTTATTGAGCAGGTTTTAAAGACTACCAGTAAACCACATATATGAGTTGTCTCGAAAACCTACTTAGTAACGAAAAAAATGATGTCTTCGATTACTATTGCAAATATAAGCTTCCTTCACCGACAATCCCAACACAGATTGTGATATGAAAAATGCCTGACCTTCCTTGATATGCACATCAGCCTGGTGACCCAAGGGCATTCGTGACAATATGACATAGTGGCTACCATGTTGAGATTACACGCTGCGTTGCCATGGTTCGACTCCCACTGGGGGTGTTGATACGACCTTGGCGAAGTCAAAACCTCAGTCCACTTGAGCTGTGATGAGAACACTTTTTTGGAAAGTAAGGCTACCTGAAATTCAATAAAAAGTTCAACTATACACATAGAAATGTGGGAAAATTTAATAACCAGTCCTTCGTCACCTTAAACGAAATATGGTAAATAGGACTCATATATTAGATTTTATTTAGTCTGCAGCTTCCTAACGTAAACAGATATAGTGTGGGTAGGTTTCGATGATTAAACATTGAACTTTTATATTTTTATTCGAAGCTATTAAGATAAATATTTGTTTACTTGATCATTGTGAGCAAATTCATGTAATATGAAAGGGCCTAATTAACAGTTTTGAAGATCAATCTTACTAGAAGAAGACGGTTGATCCCCTTTTTTCTGAAGCTATTGGCTTAGATACGTCCACGATGCATCCTCCCTTGTTTCGGATGAATTTGACGTCACTACCCGCGTCATGCTACTTCACGGGCATCGTCAGAGTTGGAACTCATTCTTGCAAAGCTTTAAGTTAAAATTTAGTCGCGAAGAGGGCCCCTCTTGATGACAGATTGAATGACGGACAAAGGCTCAGCCTGTTTTTACCTGAAACGAAGGAAAATGTTTCTTGAATTTCGCCAGCTTCAGCGTCACATGGAAATCAAGCATATGCAAAATAACCGGAATCAGCCGTCATCGTTTGGTGATATAGGCCGGAGAATCTCTTGTTCGCTTATTTCCAAATAAAATGAAATTCTATAAAACAATGTTATGTCAAAAGATTAATCGAAACCCAGTCACTTCTGATATACTCCATAAATCTCAGTCCACAAATTTTCGAGGGCCTCATCTATTTTTTACAACTTGGTCGTGTTGCTAGGGTGACTTCGAAAAGCATAGCTGCTTCGGCGTTCTCTGCTATGATAATTTTCACCATCATAGAGTGGACTTAGAAGATTCCCAGACCTTCACCGTCAGCGCTGTCAGCATTGTCAATAAGCATTACGCTCACAAAGCTTAAAAACTAACTTACACCTCCGCAAACAAGTATTGAACCTTACTAGACGACTATACGAAACTTATAATCAACCCAAAGCAATGAAAGCATAACATAATTATTAATTCCCTATCCCAAAAATGGAAATTCTATCAGACTTACCAAATCATCATCATCATACATATATATATATATTATTTTAGTTATTTATAGATTTAATCAGTTACAGTTGTAAATAAATTGAGTGTATATAGCACAACCCTAAGCTTCCTGAATTAGTTTTAGCTTGATGTTTTTGTAGGTAACCTGTCAGCCCCCTGACAACACAGGAGTTTTCCTGATCCTTTAACTCGAATATGATTGTAAGGATGATACCATCTGTTCTGATGATGTCCATCCTATGACGGAGAAAAGTTTAGCACTTTTTGATAGGAAGCGAAGGAGATTGGCTCGGAATGAACATTCTTTTCAGCAAGAATGTTCCAGTAACGACAATCGATAGCTGGTCAAGAGGAATTCGCCTTTATCTTCTGGAGTGATGGATCCTCGAATCACTTCACCAAGCACTTTCTCTCGAAATGGAAATAGGCTCAACAAACGTCTGGTAACCTACCAAGTCGACGATCCGAAGCTGGAAATGATCGCAAACGTTATGGCTAAGGACGTCGAAAAAGGTAGGTTCTTTGAGCTCGCCCTGATAACACTACAAATTCACGAATAACAACGCAGTCGCCCTATGTCGATTAAGGGGATTTAGGGATTGATACTAGAGTTTGTCTTACATTGTGACGAAGAGACCTTACGACGTCATTGAATTTCACATAGCCTTGCTGTGTGTTTCGATTTCGTCTCAATGCCTTATCAGGACTCCCAGCGAGATGAGATAGCGGATCATGAGTATTGTGGAGACATTTCCCACTCTACTAGACGGTCAGGGAAGTTAGCGAGTAATAGGAAAGATGTGTTATTCGAGGCTAGTCAAGTCTCTCTCAAATCACATTTTATGATGGGAATGCCGATAAAGCAAACTTATACTTGTCATTTTAATAAATGAGATTACTCAAATTCGATATGAGTAATTCTTGAATGAGAAATTAAGTGATCAAGTGTGACTGAGTCTTTATTCAAGAATTAGCGATAGTGTCGAAAACGACACATAATAACGTTAAAGTTTTGTAGACAAGGAAAGCCCAATTTGAGTGAATTTCGAATTACGCGTCTGTCGTAGTGAGACTATTACAGCTACATGTATAAGGATTTAGACAAATGAACTGAGATGAGGTGACGAGGCTCTAATTTCACGTGAAAGAGAATGAAGAAGATAATGGCAAGTCAAACTCACCACAAGACGTTGGCTAATCCCAGCTGCCGTGCGATTCTTTAATTGTATTGCTAAGCTCAGTTCGATACAGTGGTTACTTGACCTTATTTTGGCAACTTGGTCATTTTGGCAGAAAGTCCGAGAGGAACTCAACTTGTCCGGAGTCCAGAGTGTGCATGATCATTTCCAGAGTCGGACTATGCACTT